TTCTTGAGTGCGTACCTGAGCACGCAACATGGAATCGCGAGCTTTCTTTCTCACGGCTTGGAAGCGGCGTCGAAAGCTACTTGTAAAGTGCTCTGTTCTTAGCTTCCAAACGGCATTGTCACCGGATTCGCAGGGCAGAACTGGTGCCCGTCCGTACACTATTTGGAAAGGGGTAAACTCGGTTGTTGATTGTTCAGCAGTGTTCATTGCAAAGGCTGCGTATGACACCAGTTCGTCCCAGTTGTTGTGTTGTTCGTTCACGTAGCTCGCGAGTATGCCACTGATAGTGCGGTTGGCCCGTTCAACAAGACCATTTGTTTGTGGATGGTATGGCGCTGCTTGAGCGTGATGGATACCATGAGTTTCCATTTCTCTCGCAAACCGACGGGAAATGAAAGATGAGGCGCGATCACTCACGATTACGCGAGGTACACCATGCCGAAGAACAACTTGTTGTCGTAAGAATAGCACGATGTGGTCGACCGCGGTGCTTGGAACTGCACGTAACTCTACCCATTTACTTAGGTAATCGATGGCGACAAGAACATACTTGTTACCACTTGGAGTAGGGGGGAACGGGCCGAGATGGTCGATGCCGAGAATTTCAAAGGGTGCTTTAGGCAGTGGTACAGGCTGGACGCCACAGTCAATGGTGGGGTTCGCCATTTTCCGTGACTGACATTTAATGCACGACGCTATGTATTCGGCAACGTCTGTGCGAACTCGTGGCCACCAGTAGCGCTCCAAGATCTTCTTTGCAGTTTTGTCTCTTCCTAAATGTCCAGCGGTTAGGTTGTCGTGACACAGGTGGAGCACGGCGGTACGTAACTGCGTGGGCACGAAGGGCAACCAACCTTGCGTCCCGCGGTGGCAGAGGAGTCCATGACAGACACGATAGGCGCGGCGTAGACGTCGTTCCGCTGTATTAGAAGGAGATCTCAGTCGCGACATAATATCTTGAACTTCTGGGTCTGAAGTTTGAGATTCAGTAAGGTTAAACACAGGGGTGCAAAACTGAACCTCCTCTTTGTTCAGTTCTTCAGCTGGGGCTATAGGATTGCGTGAGAGAAAATCGGCGTCCGTGTGATATTTTCCACCTCGATGACAGATATTCAGCTGATATTCTTGGAGTAGTAAAGCCCAGCGAGCAAGCTTGGGGGTAAGGTCTCGTTTCGACTGTAGCCAAAGTAACGCAGAGTTGTCTGTTACGGCTGTGAAACGATGACCATACAAGTAGGGCCGAAAGTGTTGAATAGCCCAGATGAGAGCTAGGCATTCGAGCTCCGATGAATGGTAACGTTGTTCGGCATCGGTAAGGCGGCGACTGGCGTAAGCGATTACTCGTTGAGATTTGTCGGGGTGTTCTTGGAGTAATACAGCTCCAAGGCCAGTTCCGCTGGCGTCGGTGTGAAGAAAAGATGGGAATTCCATGTTAAAATGGGCTAAGATTGGTGCCTGAAGAAGGCTTTCCTTAATGTCATTGAAGGCACGTTCCTCGCTAATTGTCCACCGCCAAGGGTTGTTTTTACGAAGTAGGAGTGTCAGGGGTGTTGCACGACTGGCGAATTGTGGTATAAACCGGCGAAAATAGGATGCAAAGCCGAGAAAGCTCTTGACCTCTGAAAGGCGGCTTGGTCTTGGATACTTTGACACCGCTTCCAGCTTTGCAGGGTCGGGTTTGATGCCATTCTTGGTGATAACATGACCGAGATAGAGAACTTCTTCAAAACCAAAAAAGCATTTTTGAGGTTTGATTCGTAAGTTCGCTCGTTGTAGCGCGTCAAGAACAAGCTCGAGTCTTCGGTTGTGTTCTTCAAACGTCGTCCCATATACAATAATGTCGTCAAGATATACCAGAGCCATAGTCCATTTGAGGTGGCCTAGAACTCTATCCATAAGGCGTTGGAAGGTAGCTGGCGCGTTGCAAAGGCCGAATGGTAATCGCGTAAATTGGTAAAGCCCGCCAGGAGTTATGAACGCCGATTTTTCGGCATCGTCGGGGTTTAGAGGTACTTGCCAATATCCTGACAAGAGATCAAGTGTTGTGAAGTAACTTGCGCCTTGTAGTCTGTCTAGTGAATCATCAAGGCGAGGTAGGGGATATACGTCCTGTTTCGTGATGCTGTTGACCTTCCTGTAATCAACACAAAAACGTACAGTCCCATCTTTCTTGCGTACCAAGACGACCGGTGACGACCATGGGCTGTTGGATGGTGTGACGATTCCTCTATTAAGCATGTCGTCGACCTGTGTTCGGATGACGGCATGCTCTACTGGAGCAAGGCGACGTAAGGACTGGTGAATGGGAGCATGATCGCCCGTATTAATGTTGTGTTCCGCTAGATGTGTGCATCCGAGTTCGTTCGGAGTTAGTGCCACACATGCCCTGTAGGTTGTGATTAGTTCTTTGAGGGATTCAATATGATGATTGGCGAGGGTTGGACCAAACTGGAACAGATCCCATGGTATTTGTGCGCATTCTTTTGAGGGTAGTTCTGACGATCCTGGTTGATCGATAGCCGCTGTTAGAAGTTCTGTTGGAGTGAGAGGAAACGACTTGCCGACATAGTGTCCTTGCTGAAGAGTGACGGAGTTATGCCCGAGATTCATCATCAGAATGCTGAAATGGCCTCCTATACTTGTAGTCAGCGTTCGAGGTACTGCCACTTCGTAGCCAGGTTTTGAAATCCGGGAAGCCTCACAGACAATGTCACCGTTAAGATGGGGTGGGTTTGACTGTACTTTGATTCACATGGCTGTCTCTGGTTGTAGCACTGTTGTAGCCGCAATATGAATATCCCACGTTTCTCCTTTTTGAACTGAGGATGATTGAAAAAACTTATGTAGCAGTGTTTCCAATACACTTGTTCCATAAGATGCAGACGATGCCCAGAGAAGTACGAAGTTACTCCAAAAGAGTCGAAGCAGCGAGAAAAACGCGTAAGATGCCCAGGAATTCATAATATACGACCAAAAGCGTCGAAGTAGCGCATACTCATGACACGCGCTTTGATCTGATGGCAGAGTTTCTTGACAGGCCGTAGAAGGTTTCAAAGAAAATAAGCCGGTTTTGGCACACCAGTTGTACCCAAGAATTAAAGGACACACACAGTTTGGAATTACAACAAAGTCTTCAACTGATGTGCGACCAAATACTGTAATTTTTAGTTTCACTTTTCCTCCGGTTGGTATTCTTTCCCCATGAGCAGTTAGTAGAACTGAGTAGTCAGGGAACACTTTAATGTCCGAGGAAAGAAAGGACATATCAATAGCATTCACAGCTGCTCCAGTGTCAAAAAGTGCGTCCACAACCCCCACGTTTTCAACCAGTACAGGATGGCGGGGAACCGACGGTAACTGGCCTGTAACTGATACGAGGGGCCTTTGAGGAGTTATACCCGGTTCCGCCCCCAAGGACCGGGAGTAGCGTTTCCCGATGTAGCAGGAGTAGCTGAGCATTCGGCCGCAAAATGACCACGACGGCCACATCGGTAGCACGACCCAGCGGTATTGTTCCGTGAACGAGCAGACGCAGGCTGAGAGCGCGTGTCCTGTGTCAATGGTTGCACTGTAACTCCAGGAGGTGCTGCTGGTTGCATGCGGCTGGTAGCCCATTGAGCAGCGCTCATCTCCATGGCATGTCCGAGTGCGGCTCGTATTGTTTCTGGTCTTGCTAGTCTTACAAACTTCTGGACCTCAGGGTTGCCTATGGCATCCACAAACGCAGCTGTGCCGACACGATTCAATGTATCAGACGTTGCGCCCGGGAAGGATTTGTAGGTCAAACGCTCTATACTTGCAGCGAGTTCTGGAAAACTCTCGCTTGCTTCTTGGCGCCGCGAACGTAATTCTGCGTAGAATGCTTGCTGCAGATGTTCATCACCGAAACGATCGCGCAAGCTCGTGATCAATGCTGCGTAAGTGAGCCGGGTTCCTTGGAGCGCATGAAGAACGCTTAGGGCAGGGCCATCTAGTTGCGCGATGACAGCGCGTGCCTTCTCGTCTTCAGTCCAGTGGTTTGCATCGGAAATGATGTCAACCTGCTGTAGGTATAGATCCAAGGGTGTTTCGCCATTAAATGGCTTTAGCTTGAAACGGGGTTGACCAGAAGACGTAGTCGGGCGGCTCGTGAATGGAGTCTGCTCAACTGCGAAGACAGTTGGCTGCGCTGTTTGCTGAAGCGTCTCCATAGCAGCTACTCGACGGCAGATGTCGGCATTACTTGCGGTTAGAAGGTCCGAAGATTGCTGCGTTGCGGCCATGATTGTTTGAGTCTGCAGTTCCAACAGCCTTTGCAGCGTCTCCAATGTCACCGCTGTCGTCGGGATGTCGGTTGGTGCGGCCACCGATTGTGAAGAGGTTTCCTCTGGCTGCTGGGCCTGGGAGGGTGGCTCACCGGAAGGCGTCCCTTGTACCGGCAAAGGACCTTGTCGGGTTTCGGTCGGCATCCCACCGCTGCCACCAAATTGTCACGGTTTATTTCCTGGGTTCTCCAACGTTCTCGTCCTCGATCCCTGTCCGGAGCACCTCTTCTTCTTTCCTTTCTTCTTCGCTGTTACACTATACATGACTATTATCTGTGGACGGATGTGCGAAATGCAACGGATTGAAACAATTTCAAAACAAGCCAACAGACTGCTTTCAACAAGTGATACTCAAAATTATTTATTTACATAATTTTTACAAATATCTTGAGCACGATGCGTTGACTATTTCGAATGCTCTGGACGATTGTTGGCAGTTTCTTGGTATGACGACGATTCGGTGGCTCCAGCTGTATTTTTCTGCAAGGACAACAGATATATTCAACAGTGTGAAAGGTACAGAAGTATATGGATCGTATATTAATTTCTTGGCTACTGTCCGCAGCGGGCCTTTTACCAAGGCCATCTGATGGCTACTTGGCATGTCCGCGTAAAAAACAAAAAAGGAAAATACGGTTCTAAATGTTTAGCTAGTAATAGAAATAAAAACTAACCTCTCCAAAATCAAAACAGGCACTACCAGCCATGGCCACCGTAACCACCGTAGCCTCCATAGCCACCTCCGTAGCCACCTCCGAAGCCACCTCCATAGCCTCCTCCATAGCCTCCTCCCAAGCCGGAGTACCCCAAAATTCCTCCTCCTCCGTGGAGCTTGCTGACGTGGTGGACTGTCTTCACGAGGAATGCCGGACCGGCTACCGCTTTGGAGTATCCGGCACCACCTCCGCTGAGAAGAACGACGCTGCTGCCAAGGCCGACACCACCGAGTCCGTAGCCGCCTCCGTAGCCACCACCGTAACTTCCTCCATAGAAGCCCCCGAAACCTCCCAGTCCTCCAGCAGCCGTGAAGGCTAGCAGTGCGGTAAAAGCAACGGCGATCACCTGCAAGGTATCATTGGAGACCCGTGGATAAGGGATCTGAGTGGCACCATTTGGTTGCAAAGTGAGCTACGTAGCAGTAACATATACCCTACCGTTAATAGATTGGGCTAATGTTTTAATGATCACGCGTCTACTTCCCAGCTGAGTATGCAGAGGGTGCACCACAAAAACGATCTAGAACCATAGAGGGGCGATCGACGACTCACGACACCAAAAACGGAGTACCACGCTCTGGTATCGAGCGTGTTGGGAACATGGGTGACGCCATGCGCATTGTCGTGCGTTTCTGCGCCCACATCAATCGCCGCACTCCTTCCGTAGAATGGCATCAGTGGTTTGTCGCTTCGGTGAAGTAGGCGCGCTTATTATTATATTTTAATGCACGTCATGAAAGCCAGCAAAATTGACCGTGTTCCGTTGTCTATGCCGAATGCTGCTTCGGAATACATGAAAGCGAGATCTAACATTCTGGAAACACCGTGTGCCTTTTACCCCCTGCCTGACGTTTGCAACATTTAAATTTTCCCTCCCTATATCTTAATTACAAGTGCGGAGTAATCGTAAAGGGCCTGTGCAGCGCTCTGGAACTTTTTTTTAACTTGCAGGTACTGGTCACCACTAAGAGATCAAGTTTATAAAATACAAAAGTTACTTTACTTTAAAGTTATTCTGAAGCGTTTACCTTCTCCTTTTGCCCAAACAAATGGCATCAAGACTGTACCTTGAAATCATATTGTGCGAGAGCAACGAACATGATTGCCGCCTATAGATCAGGAGCAAAAGCTTAGCTCTCGCGCTTTACAGTTCCGTTCCTACAACGCAGGTGTTTTGACTGTAGTAATTTTTGTAGTGAGTTCCAAAACTTTAACACAAAATAATTCAGCTGTGTTGATAACAGGAGTACTTCAAATTATTAAAAAAAAATTAGGACCATAGATTGACGTATAATGTGATGCCTTCCGCACTGAACGAGAGAAATGTACAGCGTAGAGGCTGGCGACGTCCAACCTCGAAATACACATTTTCATAATTTCCGACCTAGGTATACACTGTTTGAGTTTCACTGGTTCTTTAATGCTTAAATTTGACGCTAGATTGAAAAAAACATTGCGTGTTTAAACTTGGCAGAAGCAACGGCTACGTGTTCCATTGAATTGTAATATTTGGTAGGCAGTGGAAGCACATGAAATAAGCAAAAGGATCACCATGTATTTCGATGGCACTTCTATGGTATCAACGTATGTTGAAGAATTCATCATAATATCACCGATATCATCTTCATCTCGCCAAAGTGCTGCTTCCAATTGACGGGAACTTTTTACCGAATTTTTCGTACCATCGCGCTTACTTTACGTTTGCTTGCATACCTCTCACACTGAACAAACAATATGATCATGTGATTTTTCTCACTCAAAAAAAAAAAAATACCGGTAACGAATGCACACAGTTTCATGGTACAACAGTAAACTGTAACCAAAATGATTGTATTAAGTGTGTAGACACAATCCCAGTGATTTAAGGGGTATACTTACGTTGTGTCTGAGATCGTCTATTTATGGTCATTAACTTTCTCTAAAAAAACACAAAATGCGATCAATACACATTCGATTTCCCTATTAAAAACGGGTTCAAAGGTCGCGACAAGCCCGTGTATCTTTGATTCGCACATGTGTGACATTGAAACAAAAGCGCACATCATCGGGATTGGCGCGACTAGTGAAAATAAAATACTTATCCTTGGAATCCACGTTTTTTTTAGCGTGAGAGCCTTTGTTCACAAAGTTTTATGTAGCAATAGCCCTACGTAATATTACAATTCTTTCTCCATTTTCTTGCCTTTTTTATATACGATCAGCTGATTCTATCCACAAGCATGCACCCAACTTGATCAATTATAACCCGTTGTTAAAAAAAGAGCAGGTTTTGTAAGTTCCTCTTGAAATTTCCCATCTCCTTCATTCCTATCCGTTCGGAACCTTAAACAAATTATTTGTTTTCCCTTGGAACCGTAAGTGGCAGAAGCTTGTGCTATAAGTCTAAGAGATCTCACGTAGGGAGTAAGCTTACCAGGGCCCTCATTGTCGTAACTTGAGCTGGAACTGACTCGTATTTCCAATGGCGCGCGGCTCCCTTATATACCACATCCCCGAAGACGAGCAGCACGTACCCTGGGCATTATCTAGACCCGGTGAACCACTCATCCTTTCTGAGTATCCTCCTTTGTCGCCATGAAACCGGGAAATGTACTACGCGCACGATATATTTTAGTGTGTCTAAAGTTCGAAAACGGAAAGTGAAGAAGCCGCTCAAGCGATGTCCCCATTCCGGATCTCACGGATCAATAGCGTCCTCCTGAAAGGGCTTCCATAGCGTCCTTTTTCTTTCTTTCTTTCTTTTTTCTTTTTTTTTTTTTTTGTTTTTAGCTGTTTTTTGGGGGTTATACGACCACAATCGCCATCTCGTGTGCAAGTCTATCCCCGATGGAGTCTTTGCGCTTGTGCCTGATGTATCCGGTGGTAAAATATATGCCGTTTTCTGTGATTCCAATCTTACTTTTTCAGCTACGCCACGAGCGGTACTCACTTTTACTTGAGCGGAAATCAGAGAAGGCTTGCCGTTCTATCGGGTGGTGATATGCGAAAAAAAAAGCGATGTATCCGCTTCCCTGAGCAAAGATTGGTTCTGCTATTGCATGTCAAATGCCTTTCAAGCGACATTTCGGCTGATACTGCATGCGTTAACACATTGAGTACCTAGGTAACTCTGTCTTTGTTTACTGATGTATTAATATCAACTACACAATATAGGGTATATGCGTGCACGTGTCAGAGGAAAAAGAAAGTTCTCGTGGCAAGAAGAATAACCTTCCAAATAAAATGTTATATGCTTCCTTAACCTTAAACTCGAATACTTTTATTTTTGTTACGTATTGACAACCTGCTTATTCAACAGAAACAGCAGTATTATTTCTTACACCTAACATAAAGTTTTACTTCGTTTTTTTTTTTTGTTGTTGTTATTGCGGTTGATGACTTTCGGCGATCTCTGATCTGCTTAAGAGCGATGCCATATCACATTTTATACAGGATGTTTGTTTTTAGTTCGCATTATTTTTAAAGAGGGTGAAAGTTACATGCAAACCATTTCCAATGCACGTTTATCAGGACCAGCAGAAATTAGATGGGATAACCTTCGCAACCAGTACGCTAATTGATTAAAAAATGGCAATTAACTTTTTTTTATTAATGGATCACGTTGCAATTACAATGATAGGTCAAATAAATTAAAACATTTTGCGAAAAAAAAGTTTAAATTTCAAATTGCAAATTCCTCGATCTGTTCTCCCTTTTTTTGTCCCTGATTCCAGAACTCGAGAAACAGCATGTGCCGCGAGCCTTGTCCATTTGCGTATTAGGCAGTGTAACGTCAGTTGATCCACCAATGAAAAGCTTCTCAGTAAAGGAGGAGGTACACATCATTATTACCTTCACTCTTCTACACTCTACAAAATGTTTGTGCGGCTACTTTCACGCACAACACTCGAAGAGCCAATCACCGCAACTTACGGAGGCAGCTCAGCGAATGACACTGCCGAGACATATGTTTAGACCGAAAAACGCAGTCTGAGTTGTGACATTAAGCAATGCAAAACGTCACGCTTGCATTGCTTAATGACACAACTCAGACTGCGTTTTTTTTTATCTAAACATATGTTTCGGCATTGCCATTCGCTGAGCTGCTCCGTAAGTTGCGCTGATTGGCTCTCCTAGTGGTGTGCGGGAAAGCAGACGCACGGGCTTTTTTTAGAGTATACGCCGCATTGTAGGCAGGACTTTCGGCGATCTTTCTGTGTCCAGTTTCGGAGCCAGGCTACACAAATATATCAAAAGCCTTTGCCATTTTTAATAGCGTTAATTTTAGGAACGGCAACCCGCTATTTGATTCGAAATACCATTCGCACACTCTAACCCCCACCTACCATGTGTGGAGACCTATGAGAATGCAGCGAATATAGAGTATCGATTTACCCATCACTTTTTTTTTAATCTGTTCAAATTAGAAAGAAACATTTTGTATATTTTTTTTTTCACTGGAAAATTATGTCGTTTATCCAAAAACGCTGTAGCGCTTATATCACAACATAAGCGCTACTGCGGCATCACTTCTTTTTTAAATCGCTGTGCATGTTTTTTTATTTATTTTTTTATTTAAGTTTGATTCATAAATTGTTTAGCTTTGCAGCTGCGAAGGCACTTTTTTCAGACCCCCTTATTAAAATGTAATAGTTAGGTCACTCTAGCTCGACGGACTTCAAATTAAATTTGGTCAACGTCGCACCCCAGACTCTCCCCATTCTTTACGTCGTCTCGGGTTTTAACGATGTGCAATAACTAGCTCGCCTGTTAGCTTTACCCCACACTGAGTTTTCAGAGATTTTGAACTGCGATATTTATGGGGACCAGGCAGGCTTCTTGGAGCTGAAGCTCTTCCTACGCAAAATTTTTGTTTAATAAATCCTTATTTTTGTATCATATTTTTTCCCTTTCATGTTCCGTTTTCTTTTTTGAACCGAACGCCTTGATTTTTTATCTTTATCTTTATTTTTATGGCAATAGTTTGTACCTTGGACGGATGGCTACATTTTTTGCTCTGGGCGGTCGACTTTCGCAAGCGCTCGAAGATCCTCCATCGGAGAGTGCAATGCGTCTCTGGGTGGCTCAGCGCATTCGTGACGTCAATTGCCTCGGCACCTTCAAGGCTACGGCAACGCTGGCGTGGTCATGAGCTTCGACACTTCTAGACGTTCGAGATACCCGAGGTCTGTGTTGTTCAACACTAGGCGAAAAAGTAACTCACCTGCGTCCCAAAACTCTCTCAGTCTCTCTCAGCCTCTTTTTTTTCTATTCCTCAACCGTAAGAGTTGAGTTCTTTGACACGGAAGAGAACGAAAATCAGGTTCGGCCAAGTTTAACAGTTAGTGCTTGCATGTAACTTTCCGCCGTACTTCCGCAGAGCGGCGCTGCTATTATGGCACAATAGATGCACAGACATCACAGGAAATTTTAGAAACATCCACCAGATGCAATTTATTAAATGTTTGATTCATTAAAAATAAATTTTGTGTGTTTCTTTCACAACGAAAAAACGGTGTCTTTGTAGTGTTGCAACAACGTAGTCAAGATTTGAAAAGTAAAATAGTCGCTGAAATTTTGTTTCCGTACCCCCTTAAACTGAAAAAAAAAATTAAGACATCATAAAATCAAGATTGTCGTTGTGGTTTCAGTATATCTGTATTTTGAACTTTAAATATGGCAAGTAGCAACCGCAAAAAAAAAAAAAAAAAACATTTTTTTTAAGCGTCGTGACATATAAAAAAAAACCTATTGTACGTATACTCAATAACCATTATCTACCCGTGCCTCTGAGGGTTAATCCCATAAGGATAGTTAACTGAGCTTGCAACGGAAGCGCGTCTATAACGTTATAGACATGGGACAGTAGAAATTCCCGCAACTCGCATTTCAACTCGTGACCCACCCCACACGCGTTTTCCTGAAAAATAGTGGACCAATTCTTCCCTGGTGGTTGCAACTATGCCCTGATTTTATAATTAACCATTTCCAGAAAAAATTCCTCGTGTACTACGTACCTAAATTTCACTTGCCCTATATCTTGTTTTTACATCTTATAACTTCTGGAGACACTCGGTAATAAAAAAGAAGCCGAACAACCTAGATTTTATTAGTTTTCTAAAGAAAACTACTCAGGAATGACTTGTACAAATTTTTTTCAGTAGTGCCCAAAACGGTAGGACTTTGATGAGCCGATTTAGATCTTTCCTAGTTTGATTTTTTCAAATGTAGTCACCCCTTTCAACATATCCAAACGTTTTGTTGTTGTTGTTGTTGTTGTTGTTTCATATTCTTAGCCATTTTTTTGACAAAAAGGGCTGTATTCAAGACGTATCTCAACAAGAACGTAATACTATGACAGATTCGCATGAACAACGAGTTATTTCCGTGTTCGTTTCTAGAAGTATATTGTTTATCTAGTTTCTGCTATGTAACAGTGTGTGATTCTAGTTTCAAATCTTACAATTTTAAACTTAACCAAATGTAGTTTATTGTTTTCTCCAATACCTGATAAGCACTGTATGCGTTGTTACGTGAGCATATGTGTTGGTCGCCATTTTGTTTCCAATATTCTAAGATAATGCCGGCTCCTCTGTAGTGGTATTGTTTCAAGTTGCTTTTATCTAGCCCACCAAGCCTCCAGGATTAAAACTTTAGCTTTAATAAAACTATAGGTAAGAAACAATGCAACTTAATTTATAAATATATTTACTTTGGATTCTCGATTCATTTCTCTCGTGACGTTCAACCCCTAAGCATTAAAAGGTTCGCACTGTAGAGTCCTTTTCCTAAATCTTTCTCATAAATTCCGTTATAAAGACAAAATTTATTCTTGAGCAAAGTGTTCCTAGACGTCAGAGATCATTTATGTAAAAATAAAGAGTATCATATTTAAAAAAAACGCATCTCCACGTGGTGAATGATGTTGATTGAGGCGAAGCTCTGGTGGTGCTTGTCAGCGTAGACGCTGAGCGGCAGCATGCCGAGCCTTTCGTTCGTTTTCATCCATGTCACGCTGCGGTCAAATGCTCAAATGCGTATATAACCACGTTCCATACCACACATTCTCTTTCTGACATGGATGAAAACGAACGTAAGGCTCGGCATGCTGCGGCTCACCGTCTACGCAGACAAGCACCACCAGAGCTTCGCCCCAATCAACATCATTCACCACGTGAAAATGCGGTTGTTGTTTTTTTTTTGTTTTTTTTTTTTTTTGTCCTACACAAGCACGGGAGCACGTGCTCACGTGCTCGTGAGCACGAGTACCCGACGCCGGTCATCGGACGTACATACGGACACGGCTAGCCCCTAAGGAGCTTCGCCCCTAAATACTGCTGGCGATGTAAAGGTCTTATAGAATAAAGATGTAGCTTTTTCTAAAATCTTACAGAATTTTGGAAATGTTTTAAGCTATATTTTTACAAAGGTAACACCTCTTTTTTACCACAAATAATTCCTTGCAATTTTCAGGCCATATAACACCCGATGACACTTGATGGATTCAATAGTACATATGCCATCTGCGTATCTTGCTGGAGTTCTTATTTGTTGCGGAGAACTCCATGTCAGGAGCCAGATTACGCTCGGTAAATGCTAGGACATCTGTTGAGAATATATATATTTGTTTATTTATCTGTTTATTTATTAACACCCTGGGCCCCTGTTTGGATTGGTACGGGAATGGCAGTTGAATAAATATGCCAAAACGCCGACATGTGACATGACGATAGGTAGAAAAACACATCCTTCAGAAAATGATAAGGAGTTTATCAAACACAAAATATAGAAACAGCAGAGCAATTATTATATTACAAAGTGAAGCCTCTGTACGCAAGCATGAAAAATACACAGTCGATTTCCATAAAAGAAGTTCACATGAACGGCTGAAAAAAACGCGTAAATTGTGATACAGATAAATAAGTAGAATATATGTCACAACTAACACCATAATAATACGACTGTTTTGCTTGCGAATGTTCATTGCCATGCTTATTTTCAAAGAAAATCCTGGCTTTATCAAGCCCAGTCACAACACAATTAATTGAAGGAACCTGCGCTCGCTTTTGAGGGACAACGCTTGAAAAAAAGAGGATCACAAATTATTAGATTAGACGTGTGAATGGCATTTGGTTGCAACAGCTAATATTTTGCAACGTAGCCTTTGAACCAGCTTTTTTCTAAAACTTCGTTGCCATATATGTGGCGTTAAGAGATGATTAGCGAGTGCAGCCGCGATCCACAAGAAGGTGAGCACGCGATTACCGCTATGTGCGTTGGTAGCGTCATAAAGCGGAAGCCGTTGCGAATTGCGTGCCTTCTGGCCGCGCTTCGTTCGCAAAGCGCACAGGCCGCCACGACCGCTGCTTCACTGTGCCAGAAATACAGAGTGGTCGATGATCCCAAGTTCACGCTCATAGGAATTTCGAATGCAGCTTGATAAGGGTCATAACAATCGGGTGGTATTGCCCGTTACTAAAGACGGCATCTGCGGGTTCCTCTTTATGTTTGCTGTTACAAAAAGTGATGAATTCTTCTTTGACACGCCCAAAAAACTGCATGACAGGAGGCTTCACTTTAGGGTTAAAAGCATAGGAGCACCGGTGTCGCGCTTAAGATATGAACGTTTTCTTTTTATGAGCCGCGCCATCTGGTGATAAGAAATTAAGGGCCCGGTCATTCTTTGTCCCGTTTGCCAACCCTCGCTATATGAGCACCACACGTCTAGAGTTGTTAATGGGTCGTTTCTCCGAGTAAATAATAAAGGCAGTGTCATAGGTGCTGCAGCCACGATTCTTCAAAAGTGAAGTACTGCAAACTTAGCTGAGTTGAGCTTAGGCTTCACTTGTTCCTTAAAGAGCCCTTCAAAAAAAAAAATAACAGTCTGGTTGGGACACGCGTGTCGTGAAATAAATTTTACACAAAAAAAGAACAATATCTTCTTCGAGCAATTTTGGCGGCGAGAGATTTATTTGCAATTCTGCGCATAAAGTCCATGACGTCACGGAATGGTCATTCGCTCAACGAGATGGTCATTCGGTCTTTCCACCTCAAAGTGAAGACGAGGCCGATCCACCTGTCCTCCGCGTGGCCAAAATGTCGAGAAAGAAAACTAGTGGAAAGGAGGTGACTACCGACAAAATCGCATTTCGCGCCGTCAATATTGCTCTAGTTATTTTTTTTTTTTTTCGAGGAAAATTAATTTTTTGACACGCGTGTTTCTTCTTTTCAAGGGCCTTTTAAGTCAGTGAATCAAATTGACCGCTGGAGCGCAACCTCCGTCTAAAGCGAATACGTCTCTACAAAAGCAACAATTATTAAACGTTATAGTTAATCTGCAAAAATCACGCATGCAGGTCATTCCAACATTTCCTTCAAAAACGCAATCTTCTCCCCCCCCCCCCCCCCTTCCCCCCCAAAAAAAAATTTTTTTTTGTTTTTTTACTAGGCAGTACGGGTCCTCTGAACGAAACACAATATGTAAGCAAATTTTGTTTAGTCGAATTCATTAACCGATATTCATGCGCTGATGATCAACATGTCACCAAATAAGGTGATTAACGTGTCAGCTCTAGAGGCGCATTCAAGCCGCCGCACTATACCACAACTAAATTTTTCCTTTCTTTTTTTTATTGTGCGCCTAACAAACAGGATTGCAAGAATACGGGCAAGTAAAACGGTCGTCCATATCAGAACTTGCAGGGTGGATCGTAAACACGCTCGACCGCCGAATCCCGCCCCCTTCCTCTGCCGCAAACAAACAAAAAAAAGTGAATGTTCATAGCACGCTTAGGAATGCACCGATGTGGCTTAACTCTACTAGTGGTTGCATGGCGATTGGTCCCAAACCTCGAGCCTCCAGATATCAACCCACCGGTTCCCCCAGCCAGTTTCCAGAATATATCAATTTAAGCATCCCTCTTACCAACTTTTTGACACCACAATATAGATCAAGTAGGTGGAAAAATATCAAAATGAAACACAATATTTGTAGTTAGGCAGATTCTTTTCCGCGGTCGGAAAACCATGCGCTTCCTTTGGGACTGTGAAATTTGTCTCGAGTCAGCACTCGAATCCGAATCGGGTTTACACAAATGGCCTACTAAGATTCCCTAATGAACAGACGAGTGCGAGGACATGTATGTATAAAAATGGTTTATTTACAAAATTTTCTACATGAGTTTTAACCTTCTTGCGGTGCAGACGATGGAGACCCGTTTTGTGTGCCATGCATTACTCGAATGCACTCGATGACTTGAGCTGGAATTGAAAAAAATACATAACCGTTGCTTTATTTCACACCGCGATTCAATGAGAATGGCATTCCATGCAATAATTGTGACCCTCTTCATTAGCTGTCCTTTCATTTGGTTATATCAAAAAATGTTATTTTTTACACTAAAATAAAAATGCTGGAACTGTACACATTTGAGGTCAAATTCGTCTAAAATTGCTGATGCAAAAGCAAGTCAGTCTAATTTGATATTTGACTACTTCATTTCCTGTTGTAACCAGTGTACAACAGGAAACGTCAATACCGTCTGAAAATGGCAATATGATTGCCATCTTCAGGTCCCTAAAACACACCATGCAGTAACAATTAAGCTAACGCAAGCCGCTAACACTTATCGAAGCCGGCAAAGATGTGAACCCAACTTATGATCTCTACGTATCCAGCACGAGCTTGCACTTTCGCACCGCATGCTTCAGTGCTGCGGGGAGTCCAGACATGCAGTCATTTTATCGTCGAAACGTCAATGCCGTCTGGGAAACCATCACTTTTGGGTGCTACTGACCATTCGATTAATGACTCCTCAGAAGCTTTCAGTGTTTTCCATATCCGCCCCCGTAGCCACCGACGAAGCCGCCACCGTAGCCGCCGCCGAAGCCGCCTCCGAAGCCGCCGCCGAAGCCACCGCCCAAACCGCTGTGAGCCAGAATGCCGCCTCCTCCAGAGATCTTGTGAACATGGTGGACGGTTTTTACCAGGAAGGCAGGACCAGCTACAGCCTTTGACGATCCAACACCGCCTCCGCTATTCAGAAGAACGACACTGCTTCCCAAGCCGACACCGCCAAGTCCGTAGCCACCCCCGTAGCCGCCCCCGTAGCCGCCTCCAAAGCCTCCTCCGAAGCCACCCAGTCCACCTGCTGAAACGGTTGCCACGAGGGCGCTAACAACGGTGATTGCAACCTGCAAAAAATACATAAAGGGCGATTAGGTAACGCCACTCTCCACTCAAAGCCACTCAAAGCCACTGGCGCTCGCGCAAGTGGCTTTGAGAGCATTGGAGTGCTGCAGAAACTACGCCAGCCTTGACAGAATACTAGAAACAGTTTAACGCTGAGTATAGTACGTTTTTGACAAAACGGAATGACGAGCACGCGTTTTCAAACTGTTCTCCAACACGCTAAATTATGTTGTTGTTGTTGTTTTCGTAAACAATCGAATTGTCTATATTCATTACGGAGCTTTCTCTCGCGGTGATGTATAAAATGCATGATTCACTACTTTGAAAAGTGCATCAGTTGCATGACCCTAATGGCAAATACTTTGTAGACCTATGCTCAAAAAAAAAATGCCGCGAACTTGTATTATACTATAGCTTCGAAGCAAATTGAACAAAATATAATAGATGCTGAGTAGATCACTTGCTTGTATGCCTATATTTGGACACAAAGAAATGCCGGGAACCTCGACGAAGTTTTAAAATGTATGATGCCCAAGCCCTTCCGTAGCCTCTATTGTATATGTGCTTCGACAGTTTTCCGCACCTTGTGGAAGTGAAACAGATGTGGGCAGCTATCCTATAGGGTGCTTGCACAAGACCATGCATGTGCAACGCTACATCCAGTTCGAAATCTCGCCGGGTTTCATATTGGTGACTTTTGTCGTATCTCTTTGCATGCGAGGAGGCAGAATTTTGCAGATAGTTCGAGTTATTTTACGTCATGATCGACTGTGCCAGCCAGAGTAGTCGGGAACATAAAGGAGCACCGGCTAGTACTTGGTATATATGCATACCAGTCTTTGTTCAGACTTAAGATGAGCCGGCGCCCGAGACTTCGGCTCGTCGGCGGAAAAAAATCACCCCGGGCAGATGTCGTCGGGGCAACTTCGAAGAAGGCAAAAATAGCACGCCCGCAGACGGTTTACTGACGTCCAGTTCGGTAGTTTGGGAACGCGCTGTGACGGACATCACGTTAGATGCAAGGACCTTATAGCACAAACTCTCATAAACATGACCTACCTTTCAAAACTAAGCTCGTGTTCATATAGCCCTTTTGTGTATTCTCGCTAAGGTATATCAATTACCTTGACATTCCTTGTATCTCCAACATGGTTGCTTCGCCGCTTTGAAAGCAATGAAATTGAGGAATATGCGCTTACCGAGCAGCATGTTGTCGGCAGCCACATCTATGTATCATCTCACAAGTTGTCTGACCCGCTATAGGAGACGTAGGCGCATGACTATGGCCTTGCACAATTATGGTTGAACAAGCAGCGACGCAAAGAATGCGCTTTTACCTTTGCGTAGAGCTCTTGAGATTGATTTTAAGGCCAAGATTTTTTTGTAACATTGCATGGTTTCTCTATGTTGTTAGCATCTGGGATGGATAGCCCTTGTCCAAGAAAAATTTCCTCAAAAATTTACGATTTCATAACTTGAAAAGATGCATGACAGACGACATGAGAGCAGAATAATTAAACGCGTTACGACGTTATGAGGCTCGCCTATATGTTGCTTTTACAGCACTACCGCTGAACAACCTAAACGATGCAAACAAAGGTCGTCAAGGCGCGCTAACAATTGAATAATGACAGCGTAGCTCATCATATATAACTGCGATTTTGTTTGAGTCGCTATGTGTAATTCATCGACTGAACGCTTCGACTGGGAGTACAGAGCACACTTACCAAGACCTGCATGATTGTCTCTTCAGCTGCAACTGATCTGGCTCTCCTAGGGCGACCGGTGCTCTTTTATATCCAAAGAGCAGTGGCATCTTCCGACATCCACCAGGATTCGTTCTCGCGATTCACTCACTCCGGGAAAGTTGGCCTCTGCGTTGAAAGTGGGAAGCGTGAATCCCGGCAACGAAGTATTTTAGTTTCTCTATCCCATTGAGAGCAGGCGAAGAGCGGATAAGCCCAATGTCCATAATAAAAAGAAAGTATCCGCGAATAGCATCCTCTCAGCAGCTAGCCGCCTCATACTGCACGGTATCCGTATCCTTCTTCGATAGCATACTGATTCTCCTCCGCCGGGAGCCTTGGCGTTTCTTTACTTACGCCTATGCGCTCGTAAAAAAACACAGGAAGGGTACGAATGTTTTTGTTTACTTTCATCTTCAGTTCCTGGCAACAAAAAAAAAAAAAAACGACATTCCCATTTGGAACATTTCTATCAAAAGTCAAAGATCTCAGTCATGCCAGATGTCGGATCACGTTCTCGGTCTAAATGCTTGACGGTGAGTTTAAGCACGCATTTGCGAATGTTTCCTAGAGGCTGCAAACCGAGCGTTATATATTAGTGTGTGTTTCTAGATACGAAACTACCGTTTTAGATTGTTGGTAGGAGAGGACATACTAATCCCACGGTCTGGAAACGTTTTGCTTAGATGCGTACAATGCACTAACCAATACATCCGTAACGCGGCTGGAAACTAACACAAACAAGAAAGCATTAAAGCTACTTTCTTTTTTGAATGGTAAACAGTAGCGAATGCTGCAAATTTCATATTCTTGTTCAAGATCGTCCCTCAATTATAAGACCTATCTCGCAGCAGGAGCAACTGCGGAAGCTATGAGTTCCTGCTGCCTTCACTGTGCACATTATACAGTGAGCACCACTGGAAGCATAGGTATCTGAAAATCCATCAACATTATTATTTACATATTCTGTTGCCGATCCAACACATTACAGCAAAGTCGTCTGCCCTAGAAGGGGAGTGACAACCAAATTCACTGGTAATCTGCACATTAAAACAAAAAAAAGATTAGCGAGCAAGATCAAGCCCATCAACAGCTGCAACTGCTAGTGAAAGGTAAAACAAAATGTTGAGAAAATATGTATTCAGTGTGGTTCATCTCTCCTGATTTCTCGTTAAAAAAATAATTTGCGAATCTGCTCCTCGGTATGTCCGCGGTGAATTGGTAATAAAATTCAGAGCAACATCTGCGCTACGTCGCAGTCACTGATGAAGTCTCTTAATAAAACGTACGCTTTTCATTTATTACAAGTAACGATAACCCTTGTTCTGCGAATGAGAGAGACACTTAGCACGAGCGAGTGCTCCGCCACCATTCGCTTACAAAGGCCCCTTCTTTCGGCGCTTTTACGCCGTTTGCCTCCAAGGGCCTCACGCGACACGGACCACGTGCCTTGCCGCATTTGACGCTATTTCTACGACAAACGTAAGCAAATCAAGGCGCTTTATAGACCAGAAATTCCGACGTCTTAGCGCGCGACCATATTTTGCCGACTGGGGCGCCGCCCTGCGGGCATTTCGCGGGGACTGCGGTTTTGCAAACATTTTCAACCGTTTTCGGATGTGTCCCGAATAATTGTTCTCGTACATCCGGTCTTAAAACCGCACAAGATGTAAAAAACAAACGGCACGCCCAAATAAATTGTGTAGGCTGTGCGTAGTGCGACGTACCCCCGCGATTTCCGAAGTCCCCTGCTACGCAAGAGCCGTCCGGTGTCGAGAGAAGAGCGCAGCTCGTGTCTGCTAGCGAGGCTAAAGGAAGCCGACGCTACGAGGTCATGGGAAAGCTCAAGGAGCGTCAAAAGCGCAAGTCACTTGGCCATTTTCGTTTGTGATTGGTTCGGCAACAGTAGAACACAAACAGAAGCATGACGAGCACTGATTGGTCCCATCAGCTCGTAGCGTCGGCTGCGTCTGGACTCGGCGTGAAACGAAGTGGGTGAGTTCATCTCAAATCGTGCAGGCAAAAAGGGTAGAATTTTTTTTAATTTTGCCGAAAATAAATGTATATCGTAGGGAATTTTATAGTGAAAGCCGCGGACTCGAAAATCTTTTGTTCTCAAGTTATGAAGCGCAGAAGCGCCCGCGATGGAAATGAACGTTTTTCCCGACTGTCGAAAGTCCCAGGTTTGAATCACTCTCCTCCAGTGCTGCTTGCCTCCACTTTATTTTAATTGTTTGTTTATAACTCTGTGGATACAATGAAGTGATTTTAATCTATTTATAAATTTCTAGGCGGGGCCGCGGGGGGCACTCGCACGGGTAGCCCTTTCTCCCTCGTAGGGTGCGAAAGACCCCCCGAAAAGAGGCACTTTCATCTTCTTGTGTGTCTGTTGCTGGCGTGGCAAATAACCGCTTTGGTCGTAAACCAATTTGGCCTGGCACAGTTGGCACTCCTCACCAGAGCGTCTGAAGCACTAATGAAATCAATTTCCTTCCGGCCTCTTCAGAGGATTTCTCATCTACAGGGTCATTTTGCTTTTTTCCAGCGCCGACCATACTTATAGCGAGTTCGTTTGACAAACACTGGCACCGTTCGAGTTCTCTCCCAGAATGCATCGCACTCGCAGATTGTCGCACGGAAAACTGGCCTCAAACGAGCTTGACAAATGCTCCGAGTGCCGGAGACTGATGCTTCAACCATCCATGTTGTAGAAACATGGGCGTACCAACCCGGGGGGGGGGGGGGGGGGGGGGGGGGGGCAAGGGGAGCGCTTGCCCTTCCCCTCCCCCCTTCCCAGTTCTCAGAGTGGAGGGGCATGGCATGTGTTTTGCCCCCCCTGAAACAGCCGCCACTGGACAGGGCAAACACTGGCTGGCGGCGCCCAAGGAATACCAAAGGCACCGTCCCCTTCCCGCGGGGGCCTATTTTTAACGCGCAGGCGATACAAACCCTAGCAAAGGCGCTCACTGCGGATTGGCTGGTTCGTGGAGATGGGAGCTGTCGCCGTCGACTTAGGCAGCGGCTACAATGCGAGTTTCCGAAGCGGTAACGTAACTTAGTGGTAAGATGTCACCCTCATACGTATCAGACCCGGGTTCTATCCATGTTGTGGGCTTCTTTTATGTTTTTTCCTCGAACATTTGTTTTCTCGAGGTATTTGGCGATATTTACAGCATTTCTTTTTTTTTTTTTACGATTAACACCAAACAAAACGAATGTTGTTGACGAAATATTTACGGAGGTGCAGGGGGGACAGCGGGGCTAGGGTTGCCGGCTGGACGCCGCAAAGCGGCGTGTACAAGGGGGGGGGGGGGGGGGGGGGGGGGGGGAGGGGGGGGGGAGGGCAAGTAATTAGCAGCTGCACACTGTCGCCGCGAAGCGGCGTGAACGCAGGCGCAGGGGTGGCTTAACTCGCTTGGAGTGATACATGCGCCGTCCGAATCCGAAATTTAAGTTTTCGCGCGTTGCCGAGCAGCCAATCTAGCGTGTGCGTCGTTGCCGTAAAAGGAGCCAGTGACCGAAGCGCCCGGTGCGCATACACAATTGGCCCTCTCCTCCTCCCGCCCCTCCTTTACAAAGCCTGCACACACACAGGCCGTAAAAGTTAGTAATGGACCGAATCTGCCGAACTTCAGATTCGGCAAAGTTCCGCACATGCCGAAATTTTGAAGAAAAGTTCGGCAAAGATTCGGCAAAAATTTGGCAAATGTCTTCGCACGCGCATGAACGCGGCGGGGCCATGAATAGCAAATGGACGCCGTGCAGTCGCGCGGTTACCATCGCACAGTTTAGTACAACCAGCGGTTATGGCGAGGTGTGGAGTAGGCGACACGGCAACTGTGCGTTTGTGAGCTTTTGCGAGTGTGGTTCTCTTCAATATTATCTGCCTTAAGAACGGAAGATCGACCAGTAATTTACGCAGTCCACTGCGCAAGTGACAAACGATGCGGTGCATTCTGGATAACGTGATTTTCATTTGACCTTTCGATTGATGCAACGAGGTAGTTGAAACATTGACTGACGACTGACAGTCACGCTTAGTGTGCGCAGCCCACTGCCGTCAAACGGGGCCGAGTCACGAGAGCTTGCCAGAATGTATGGAATGCAGCTGGCATCCTCGTCATAATGTGATACATGTTTTCTCCCTTTTTTTCTTTCCTTTTTTACGCACTTTCTGTAGTGTGTATATTCTGTACGTTTATTTGTCTGTTTTGTTTTTTCATATGTGGTGGCGGGCTGGCACTGGCAGGCACTCTGCGTAAGGGTTTTCACCTATCTGCCTAGCCCCGCACACCACTACATGGGCCCCATCCAGTATGTGCAAATAAAATTATTATTATTATTAATATTATTATTATAAGAATCCTGTTTTCCGCTCACAAGTAGTTTTTTTTTCCAAAACAAAATAATATTGCTTTTTAGTTCGCGTTATTTCGCGATTTTCGTGTATCTGCATAAAACTAAACAAAACTCTCATGCTCGATGTTGCATATCCGACATTCCTAAAACTCCCCAACTTCCTAAACGTGTCCTAACACCAGAAACCGGAATTTTAAAAGTTAAAAATGGCACGTTGCGAATATGAAACGCACACTTTCATGCAAAGCTGACGTCAAGTGACTCAAATCGAAAGACATGCATATTTACAATAATATTATCTCTTCTGGTGAAGGATCAGCAACCGTTGCATTCGTTTTCGCGCACGAAACGGTGACTCCCAGAGAAAGCAAGAATGCAGTGATTGCCTTTATTTGAACAATGTAAACACACTTGCAGGCGTGCGCTGAGGAAGCCTCAAAATCAAAACTCTCGTAGCGTGATTCGTAAATGCGCGGGCTGCTACCTAACCTCGTTGTCACGCCACTTTCTGCAATCAAAAACTAAAATTGCCAGTAAACACACAAAAGCGACATCGATACAATTATCTTGTAGAGTATCACCTTATTTAGTAATAACTGTGTCAATAAGCACTACATGTTTTATTTAAGTCAAGAAAAAAAAAACCAAGTGCGTCACAAAAATCTAAATCTGAATATTAAGACTGCTAACAGTGTATTTTTGCTGAATGATTGCCGAATCTTTAGAAAGGTTCGGCAAAAGTTGCGCCGAATTTTCAATTTGGCAAAAGTTCGGCCCATAACTAGTAACATTATGCGACCCGGGGGGGAAGGGAGGGGGGGGGGGGGGGGGGGGGTCTGGTTTGCTCCCTACTCAAAAACAAGTTGGTACGCCACTGGTAGAAAGAGAACCGACCTAAAACCGAAACTAGCGCCTTTCTGTTCGATGTGATCGGTGGGAATGCGAGACTGCACTCGCTACCAACGTTTATCTACAAACGTTGCTCGCTGAAATCTGTAGTTTTTATTTGCAATGAATTCAAGCGACTCGGCTGTCATAAAGATATCTACAGACTGCGTAAATTTCCGCAACCACCTGACTACAAAGCAGCTCGAGTTTACACGCGAGAAAACTGATTATGCTGTCCGGGCAGAAGCTTAATCCGTTTGAGCGTGGTAGAACCACTTGAAGGTTACGGCTTGAAACGAGTCTGTTGGGATATCCTGCAAATCGTTTCGTGGGACTTTAAATTTCGATCGTTTAGAACAGGGGTCTCCAAACTTTTTGGGTAAGGGGCCGGAAGGAGGCTCTGTCTCTGTCTCGAGGGCCGGAAATAGAAATGGGCAGATGTAAATGAGGAAAATCTAAATAAATAATCCTAGATATCTAAGCATTTAAATGTACAATACTTAAAGTTAGAGTAACCATGAGACAAAAATATTGTAAGGTGGATGAATGCATTCACATTGTTATGAAATTTAATCATTTAGCTGCTTATGACATCACACAATAATTGGAACCCAGAAAACATACCAGCATAAACCAGAGCGCATAGGAACTTTGGCACGTTCACACAGGGCAGAAGACTAGTGAGAGCGATAGAAGTTATGCTGATAATATTTAATAGCTACGACACAGTACACCAAGCACAATATACATAGGAACGTAAATTAATTTTAACGTACTTAGTTACCCAGATATGGAAAAGGGGACTTGGAGTGTGGATTCTGCTAATGACAATGTCCAATTACTAATATGACCAGAGGGCACGCCTATACAGTAGGCAGTTCTCTCGTTTTTTTCTGGTAACTTCGTTTACGCGTTTGGTGCGCGCCGCGGCGCCGTTTTACACGCGCTTATTTTTTCGCCAGTAGCAGCGGGCGTACTGGAAGCGTACCGTGGGCCGGGCTCCATTGGGAGGACTGCAGCCAGCAACGGGCCGGTCAAAAGACCTCCGCGGGCCAAATTTGGCCCGCGGGCCGGGGTTTGGAGACCCCTGGTTTAGAAGACAGCATGTGAGGTCACTTTATGGTCGCACCGCCAGTGAGTTCAATGCTGCTTTGCAGGTGAAACATCAAGTCATCTGCAGGTGGAGGTCGGTGGCAGGAAATTAATGGCACGTGGGTAACATTAGCAAGTGGTGTAAAGCTATGGAGCGACGAGAGGCTCATGCTGCGTTTTCAGACTTCTCTGTGAAGTAGTGTCAATACGTAACACGGACGAGGCATCGGTATTCTAAGCTCTATTGATTATTAGATCGCGCAGTGTAATCATACGATAGCAAATCATAGGGAAGGAACAAATTAGAGCATTGAACCAGAATTGTTGAGGTTACTTTAATGCGTTACCATTCGAACGCTCGTTTTTGACGAAAACCCTGTTGTGTCTTTCGTTTATCAGCGCCGGGGAGAGAGGGAAAAGGACCGGGAGAAGGGGACGCGTACGATGCTCCCATTGGTCCGAAGCGCTGACGTCAGTACGCGTCAACCTCCCCCTCTCTCCTTGTCGCTGACAAAATGACAGACACCCATGGGTCTTCGTCAAAACAAGCCCTTTCGTTTTCGTCAGAGGAGTGTCGCACAGCTGGCGCGAAGTCAGAGAGGAGGAGGCGCCGCGACAAGGTGAAATGCGGACGTGCTTAGTTACCGCTCCGACGTCGCCGGTTGTTCTTCGCTCTGGGTTTCCGTGGCAGCGGTGCGTGGGCTGTGATGTGTGTTTGTAGAAGGAAGGATGCGGTTCCCTCCACGAATGATATGGATGCGGTTCCTTTCATGAGTGGCATGGATGTGGTTATTTCCACAAGTAATATGGATGACCATACCCAAGCGCATCGACGTACTCTGATTGGCAGAGTACAAAAAAGGGGCGAAAAAAAAATTACACGAACATCCATTGGTGAATTTTTAGAGAATGCGTTAGCATGACCCTTGGAAAATGCCACACACTCCCCTTTTGAGAAACGCCAACACTGACCCCGTAACGTGGCCAAAAAGATGCAGCAAAGTTAGAGGAAGCAAAAGAGACAGCCAGAAACAAAGCCGAAACAAAAGAAGTGAAGGGGTCAGCGTCATCGTTTCGCAAAGGGGGACTTGTGTGGTGTTTCCCAACGGTCATACTAACGCATTCCCTAAGAATCCACCAATAGATCTTCCTTAGTTTTTTTTTTTTTTGTTGTTGTTGTTTTTTTCCGTTTTGCTACTTTGCTTCTTCTCTCTCATTCGTTTCTATGTGTTACTTTGATTGTTTTCTGCATCTTCGTTACCATCTGCCAAAGACTCGGGGAGCAGACCTCGTCAAGCCAACAAAGTTTGGCTTTTTTTCTGTGGCTTCGGCATGTGTACATTCAGATGCTAATAAAATTATAATTTAATTTGATTTAATATTCTAATTTCCTCTTGCCCTCAGAGGCTTTATGTTTCCATTAGTCAATTTCAAGTTTTCCTGTGTCAAGAATATTGTTGAAAATGTTGTATGGTCTCTCACAATTCTGAAGTATTTCTGGTTCGGATATTTATTTTACAGCGGAGCTGTTAAGGGCTAGTTTCTCCAGGATCGTGTCCGTCGACAAACAAGTGGTGACACAGAACTCTGGACAGCTATCGCCATCGATGAGAGACGGCGGCAACCAGACAACCGGCTTGCCATTTGTCTAATTGCCACCGTCGCTCGTAGATGACAGCAGCCTTTCGAGCCATTCCACTCTGGCTTGCCGATTTGCGGCCGGCCATTACTTCATTCCCACCATAATACAGCTTCGCTGGACTTCCTTCTTCACCACAGTCACAGTGGAAAGGCTGAAAGTTTTTTTTTTCTTTTATTATTTCACAACCGGCCTACAATTTTAGAACTGTCGCTTAAGATGTATTATGTTTTAGCTGCTGCAAGAAACATAAATGTTAAATTATGTGCACAAAACAACTGAACATATGGTTGCGAAAATACTATGGACCAAGAAAGTTGACGGTAGACAGTTTATTTACATCATTTGTACACATGCTTTGATCGAGGCACCGATTTTGTGTGATGCGGTCCGCAAGATGTTTTCTGACATTAGGCCACCGCCTCATTGCTGTCTTTTTCTGAAAGAGAAAAATATAATTTAAATCACCACCACAATAAAACGATTCATGATAGTCTACGCAGTCACCCAGTGTTGCTAAGGCTGAAAGTAACCTTCCAGTCATATGTAAAATATACATCTTGTCATTTACAAATTTATAAATATACATGCGACTCATACACCAATAGATATAGCTTGCGAGGGACCAACAATAGCTTTTTTTATTCAAAATTCTCCTGTCATCTTTTTTATTATTATTTCCTGTCAAACGCATTGCCGGATTTGAATTTTTACTAACCATTTTTCTTTCCCTGGAGCTGATTAGCCCTTCAATCCATAGCCTCCGCCGTATCCACCACCGTATCCACCGCCGTAACCACCTCCGAATCCACCATAGCCGCCTCCGAATCCGCCGCCGAAACCGCCGCCGTAGCCGCCACCCAAACCAGTGTGGGCCAGCAAGGCTCCTCCACCGTGAACCTTGCTTACGTGGTGAACGGTCTTTACTAGGAATGCTGGCCCGGCTACAGCCTTTCCATATCCAGCGCCTCCTCCGTTAAGGAGGACAACGCTACTTCCCAAGCCAACACCACCGCCGTAGCCACCGCCGTAGCCGCCTCCGAAGCCGCCTCCGTAGCCACCGCCATAGCCCCCACCGTAACCACCGCCGTATCCTCCGAGCAAGGCACCGGCCATTGCGGCTGAAACAACTGCACCGAAGACAACTGCAACAAACTGAAAAAGGGACATCGAGAATGCGTTAGCCCCATACCAGCCACCCAAATTATACTTCACGCGTAAGCACACTAACACGCATAAAGACAAAAATTAGTACAAAAAACAGTGTGTTAGTGTGGAGTTATTATCAGGCTCAGGGCTGCATGAACTTGATTAGAATGTCGCCACTAAATGGAATAACAATGGTCTGCTGTAAATTTACTTTGAAGTAATTGAACTTCCTGGTTTAGCGTCATGCCGGTCCCCGTGCGTTAAAATCGTTTACGTTTATATATGTATTGAAAATACGAATATAGAGTACCACTCTTCTTTACAGATGAAATCTTAATCCTGAATTATCCGTGTCAGCGTCTTAATAAAAAGACTATCTTTTCTTGATTATATGTATGTGAAATGAGACCGAAAGCATATAATTTCTGTTAGCTGTTTCAAAGTGATTATAACGCAGTATCTTTCTAGTTTCGCCCGTCCAAAAAGAAAGCGATCATTTTCAGGAAACCCGCTAGCCATAGATACATTATTATAAACTACATTGCACCTTTATGAAGTGCGGCGGCCGCAGTGTGTTCTAATAAGAATATACATCACAATCGCTCGTGTTTTACTAAACTCTCTTTACCTAGTTTATATAGCATTTCTGGTTCATGAATATCTAACACAGATGGAACAACATATATGAGTTGTAGGTTGATATTCTCTATTATATTAGATGTTGGAAAAGATACAACAACCAACAGCTATAAGAAATATTGACAGTAAATTAGTATGGAAACTTCAATCTGAATACCAAACGAGACTACTCCCAAAGATTTTGGAATTGGTTATGGATATAGAATCTAAAAATAAAAACATTTATACAAGTAAAGAGAATATTGACTAAGTTAACAATAAGATTTTACCTCTCTAGATACATGGCAAAACGCAAAACAGGAATATGCCTTCATTTCGTGTGTTTCGTTTCTGTTCTGGCTTTCTTGCTCTATTCGTCGAGTGTTTTACACAAAGAGCAGAGAAACACTGCTAAAACTGCAAAAACTACTGGCTTTAAATGACATATATGTAGTATTCGTGGAGTTTCAACACTGTAACTATCTTACTTGATTATAAACTTTAGAACAATTAAAGGCACATAGATACATACATGAATCTATGAAGAAACGAAGGGGGTTGCCAATATGATTCTTTTGAACCTAATTACCATCAAAAATAAAACTGGCATTGCTTAGGCTGATTTTTAACACGAACAAAAAAAGTAAGAGGCGACACATCTTCACTATTGTTTTCTTTATATTTATCAAACTGATGCAAATTTCCACGATTGCGCCTATATTCAATTCATTTTATAAAGCATATATGTATATTCCACATAGGTAGTAACTGGTCTGTGGCTATAACCTCCGATCACACAAGCAACTGCAGGCCGTTATATTTTGTTCCTCCACGTTAATTCAACAAAGAGTAGTACTCTTGACGTCAAGAAACAAACGCTGACAGAGAATGTCATCTTTTTAAGCAAATAAAAGCAAAACACAAAAGTGACGACGACATATACGTCCCCTCTTTGTGTTTGGCTTTTATCTTCTGACAAATACCCAGAAACACTGGTCAATATATTCACAGAGCATCCTTAGCGTTTAAATTTTCTGGGCAGAGCGTGGTCTGTCCGCTAACTACCTTAACCATCGACGCAGGGAAGCAAACGTTAGAGCCAGAGAATGGATCAGGCGTTGTATCTTACCAGGACCTTCATGGTTTTGGCTTCTGCGTCCACTGACTTGCCTCTTGGCCACAGCGCAGTGCTTTTATACTCGAGGGGCCAATGGAAACGTAGGCACGTTCCGGCACGCGTTATCGCGTCGCGCCCTTCCAGGTGCGTCCCCTCGTGCCTTTACCGGAAAGCGGGAAGTCACCTCGCGACAACAGGGTATTTTGGTACGCCCACCTTTCTTAGGAAGACTTATCCGGTATTTTGGTTGTTGAAAAGATCATTATCCCATTACTTCCGCAATCGAGAACTTTTGAAAAAGAAAGAAGGGCTTGTCTGGAATTCTAATTTCATGCAGAAATAGGGGTCGATGCATATCGGAGCGTTTCCTGACGCCAGCGTACTTACAGAGTTACACATACCTAGCGTTGCAGCACGCGCAACATTTGTTGGTCGTTCTGCTGTAACAGTTCCGCGCTTTTGTTTTGGATGTTATCCGCAATTTCGCATGAGGTTTATGAGTGCCCACAACGGGACCCCTTTCTTGGTCCCGTGGTGGGGCATAGGCATACATGTCCTAGGGACAGCTAAGATAGTAAAACGGGATTGGGAGCGCGTATTCTGGGCTTACTTTATAAAAAGGTTGCATAGTTTTTTTTTTTTTTTTATTATTATTAAAGGTTATAGATCAATTACATAGAATGTAATTGATTTTTTTTAATTGCTTGATGAGTTTTTTTTATGAGTTCTTAATGTATTTTGAAAATATCACCGTGTGTCTAGCGTTTTGTTTTTACTGGTGATAGATAAATGCCAAGGAACTGAAGTGACTTTTTTTAGATTTCTCGGCCAGTTTTCTGTTGCGTTCTTGATGTATTTTTAGAACATATTGGCCACCGTGTGTCCAGTGTGTTTTTGATGTGGCCATTTCTTTAACGTTTGGCCGGTGAAGAGACCATATTAGGTAAAATATTGAAACAAATATATCCTGTAAAATAAACTTATCGCAGTGGGGCACGCACTTGGGGCCTCATTTTAAAATGGCACGCCCAAGATCGTCTTCTTCATCTGCCCTGTTGAATGACCTTGAGTCTTGCTCGTTCACACTAGTCAGGTGCCGTAAATCTGGACGAATCTGACAAACTCTGCCCAAGCTCCTTTGCGTACAAATAGGGCGACTCGAAACGACTCAATAAACCTCAATTTTCTTGAAATCCCGAACGATTCGCGCGCGCTTGCGCAGTGGTGTGGGCGAATTGTCCGGGCACAAACCGTTCACGTCCAACGACTCACTAAACCGTGAGTAACTGAGTAGGTTTCCAGAGTACCGAAACCCCCAAGCTCCACACCGTGGCGCTCAAACTCATCCCTATCCGTGCCGCCAGTTTGGAGCCTTGCATAGTACAGTGTACACTGTAACACACAAAAAAAACACATCTGAATTTTTTTAATGCTTCAATGATGTAACACTTTCAAGGGTCAGTTAAAATTTAGGTTTAATAATCACCTCAGACTTAAGGGGGATTCTCATGTTTACTATGTAACTTCAGAAGCTTTAAAAAACTAATGCACTCAAAAGGAACACTCAAACTATCAATCCCAACCACGAAACGTTTAGCTTACAGAAGTCCAGTTAGGCCTACACTCAAATATGCTAACATAGCCTGGTTCCCTCACACTAAAACACTCAAGACTAAACTTGAAACCAGACTTGTATGTAGTACAACTACTCTACTGAAGTTACAGTAGTTTAACTATTTTTCTGAGTAGTTAAGTCACTTTCAATTCGATTTTTATTTCTGTAATTAGTAATTTACTTTAATTACTTTTGCGCTGTAACTTCTACTCAAATTACAAATTTCATTCAAATTTTAGTGGTAGGTTTGCCTATCAACAAACATTCCTGTACAAAAAAAAAAAAAACGATGTTGGAGGATTAGCTGACATATGCAAAGAGGGGGAGCATGTGGCGTGCCGCATAGGCAGGTTGGGGAGAGGGGGGGGGGGGGAGGGAGGGTCCGACACCTCCTAAACTTTTCACAAGCCCCCACTGCATCAACTCTGCTACGAGGCGCGGGGAACGGACGGACACGTCGCAAGTGAGGCCGAGTTACTGCGGGATAAGCGCCGAAGACTGGCGTTTTTCTTTTTTTTTTTTGTGTGTCCCGAAGCTCAAGGAGACTTGACGCATTTGAAGAAAGGGCTTGTCCCCGCTTCTCCCCAACGTAGGAACTCTCGCCCACTGCAGGATGTGCTGCCATTATACACTGCACCCTCACTCAACGGAGGCAACAAAATGCAGCACCCGCCCTGAAGCTCATCTGGTGCTCCCGTATATTGTGCTGTACTTGAAGGATCGCGTACTAAAGGGCAACGCAAAGGTGACCTTTTTGGGTTGACTTTTTTTCCAAAGCTTAAAATATGCAGGTTATCTAAGATTCAAAGATTGTTCAAGAAACCTTAATAATTCCCTCGAGGTTTTTACATAAAAAAGTATAGAATAAACAACCAGTGTTGGGAAGTACTTTAAGTACATGGCACGTCAAGTACTACTTCAAGGAGGTTTAGAAAACTTGTACTTTACTTGAAGTACATTCTCTGAGCGTGTACTTGTACTATACTGAAGCATTTTTTCTGGTACGTTCGAAGTAAAGTACAACTTCCGACTTCAAAGAGCATTCCCTAAATCTGAAAACAAAAAAAAAAAAGTGGCGTATCGTCATGTGAAACCGCGCTATCGTCTTTCGAGACGTCATCAGGTCATTTTTCTGAGTGAAGTAATGGCGGCTATCAGACCGACACAAATAAGTGCCTTATAAGTTGATTGTGTTAAAGTTTGTCAACGAGAGTAAAACAACTACTCTGAGGCGACTTGACTTTGTCCAACATTTGCCGCCATTTCCGAAAAAAACTGATGCACCCCCGATTACTCTAAAGCAATGTATTCCAGTTTCAAAAAAAAAACAAAAAAACTACAGGGGGTGAAAGGGCACCATGAAAGATTGTGCTAAAAAAGGTATTGTACTTTACTTTGAAAGTACATTGAATATTTACGACTTTTCTTCAAGTACATTGCACCCGGTGTACTTTATACTTTACAAACTGCCGAGTCGGCAGTTAGGAAAGAAATATGCAAATCAATTTGTCAACTGCCGAGTCGGTGTCGTGTACTGCATTCCACTGTCTTGTGGTAAGGCCTATGTAGGCTAGATTTGACGTAATAATGATAGA